AAACTAAAGGGCTTGTGGTTTGCAAGCTGCTGCCTCCCCATAGGGCCAGTGGAAAGCAGCTCAACAGGGAGCTGCTCTGGTGGCTCAACAGACTTAAAAATTAGCCAAAACAAAGGCACCCACAAAACAAGTTACAAATTGACTTTTCCAATTAAAGTTCTCCAGCTGAGTTAGGCTGATGAAGGTTTTGGGGAATAAACTCTCTGAAGACTTCCTAGAGAGTCAGACAATGGTATGGTTTGATCAGCAGTGGCAGGTAGTACACAAAACTGGGCAGGGGGGAAATCCTCATCTTCACTAACTACTTGTCCCATGATGTCCCTGGGATTAGGAGGTCAATTAGGTCTGCCAGAGTTTAGCCTCAGTTTCCAAAAAAAGACAAATAGATATTTTGAGCCTGCGTAAACTTGACTATGGCTACAGCTTGAGTCTTGAGCAGGTACTGAATCCCCAGAGAAGTCTGCGTGCTCGTTACTCGACAAGGTCTGTTTTCTTACTTGCTTATCTAATTTCCTCTTGATTCAACTTTGTGATCACTTTTTCACAGCAAAAGGAACAACAGACTTGAACGCCAAATCATATTCTCTGGGAACATACATGAAAATGTTTATCAGGATGTTTCCTAATACTTGTTTCTCATCCTAAAATAAAATTGTACTTGGCTAGTGTTTAACAGACTGTGTTTCTACACCCAGTTCTCTGACTCCCTCCCACCTCTTCCTCACTTCCTGATTCCCGCCCAGTTGAGTGGCTGCCACTTCTCAAATACTCAATGTGTCAGTTAAAAACACATCACGGTGTGGTTGTTGTATGACTCCTGTTCAAAGTTCATGTCATTTAGACTTTCACTGGCAGCTATTTTGTCCCATTAAAAAGTTCAAGACAGCAATTTCTGAATCTTGTTCAGCCAAGTAGAACTGTGGAGAAAAAAGGAGTTATTTCAAAAGTCAATTAATCGTGGTCTCCTCATTCAGTTTTTTTCGAGGCCTTGTCATAGGCTCACATCTGTCAGGCCCATGTTTCCCAGGCTGCTATCAGATGCCATTACATTGAAAATAATGGGTTTATTCACACCATTTATTTGACTTTGTGTGGTAGACACATTTGTATTATCATTTTATGGTGTAACAATTCAATTTACATAAAATATAGGCAATTATGTGAGTCTGACCAAAGCACTAAGGAAGGGTGGGAGGACCCACCACTAAAATAATAAAAGCGAACTGAAAAGAGGCAGATAATTTAGGTGAAAATGCCATCATGAGCAATTCTTGATCCTAAATTAGTTCAACAGAACTTTAAGGAGGTGAGTTTGTTGTATTTTGTCTGTGTATTAAACTCCTTAACGTTTTTCAATGTAAGAAAAGAATTTGTACTTTTGACAGCACCTACATTCCATTTTAAAAATCAAGTAGTTCTTGGTGGAGGAAGAAAGGGGGTTTTTTTTTGCTTTAGGGTTAGGGTTTTTCCTCCAATTTAGAGAGAGCTTCCACATTTGTCTGTAAAGGAATGTTGTGCCTTAGAAGCTGATCCTGCAAATCCTACTTTTATTCTCCTGACTGCAACAAGGTAATTCATGTATGGTTCCATTTATATGAAGTCAAAACCAAAGTTTTAGATCAAATTATCAGCGACACTTTTCAATGAAGTGTAACAGTTTCTCTTTTGGAGTCAGGAATATCATTCTTGCAAAAGTAAATCTTCTAGGATTCAAGTCAAGCATTAATTTTGCATGAAACATACTCAAGCAGTCTGGCTATCCTTAATCTTGGCACTGTAATAGGTAAGGACATTGCAATTTTGCTGTAACTTCTCAAGTTCACAGTGAAGAGGACTGGTGCTCTATGGCATGCTGTAATGATTGGTCTGGAGCCCCTATATTCCCTGTTGGTCCCTGATTCGTTTCAGGTACTTGCGTATGGATGACAATGAGAGTATTCCTTTAACTAGCGAGATATTATTTCCCTGAAGATAGAGCAATGGCTTTCTCAAACATTACTAGGATTATATCCTGAGACAAAATTATAAATATGCTAAGTGTGACTGTACTAATTACAGGAGCGTGAATTACATATCTCTATCACTGCGGCATACTGAAACCAAAACTCATCACTTTGAAATGGAGAAAAGCATTTAGAAAAACTATAAATATTCTTAATTCTGACTCTTCATGACTATCCATGACTATTTTGGAAGCCTTGCTAGATTTCAACAGAATGCGATCAAGACCATTAAAAAGGGAGAAAAGCTAGACTCTTGGTCAAGGACAGAAAAAGAGAAAAAAATTATTCCTCTTCCCATGTTGAAGTTAAGCATACAAATCTCAGTGCAGAATAACCTCCCAGGAGAGGTGTTCAAACACGGGCTCTCTCACCGACAGCAGAAGGTATTAGACGCTTGAGTCAGCGGCAAAGCTCGGCATGAACCCCTGATTTTGAGACTTTGGCACGCAGCTCCTATGCCTTCCCACTAGAACTCTCAAGGTCTCTAAAAGCCATGCCTTCTCCATTTCATACTGTGACAGAAGACTTATCGTCCTACTTTGTTATATAAACAGGGTTCTTGTCCTTTTGTTTGAGACAAAAGTTGAGCTTACATTTCAGCAAAAAAATATTGAAACATGTACCTTAAAAATAATAATAGAATTGGAGAAAGGGAGTGAATGAGTCAAACCTCTAACAAGGGGAATAAGCCTGTATTCTTGTAATTAATTTCCTACAGAGTGGTGTGTTGAAAATTCGGTGCATTTGAAACTGCACAGAAAAGGCAAAGTAGACATGAGGAAAAGACCAGCTGCATTCAAAAAGGGCCAAATCCACTCTGGTGTAAGCAGGCAAAACCTCACTCAAATCAGTCAAGAAGACTTAGTCCGCAGCGTCTAAGCTTAAACTTACTTTAACCTTTACTTCATGGTGTTGGTCCAGTCATTCAACAACTCATTAGATTCTTGCAGCCCTTTTGTCTTTCAATGAATGGGGGAAACGTCCTCTTTTGATTCTCTATCTACACATCAGGCACAAGTCCAGCCAAGAACAAATGATTAAGTGCATAAAGATCCCTGCTGCTTTATGAAATGTTACAGATCAGAAGGATTATGGAAAAGGTTTCACTTCCTTCCTGGAAGAGGCTGAAAGACTTAAGCTTGCAGTGCTGAAGGGGAAAATGTTCAACATGCTTTGCTCAGTAAAGATAATTCATTGGGTTAAACTCAACCACAGTAAAGAAAGAAGATCACTTGTTTGCTTGTAGTTGTTCACAAATGTGTTTTGACTACAACTTAGGTCCCCCTTTTCCCATACTAGCTCAAATCTTAAAGTTGGCACTAATGAGAGCTGGCACCTAAATTCCACGAAGAATTGTCTCTCATTGCCTCAACTCTCCATATGTGAAACAGTGGTAGTATTTAACCCCTTCTGACCCGATTTTCCTGTATGCAGAGTTGGAGAAATTGATCCCCAAAGACTGAAAAAAACACCCAAACCCCAAACATGAAGATGAACATGCTTTTGGCATCCTCACTTTGGTTTTAGGTACCTGTTCCCTGGATACATGAATCACTGTGCCTTTGTAAGGCTGCCTGGCCCTATTTATCCATCTCGAAAGGAGGATATCCACAGAATTTTTGAGAAACAATTGAATGAAGAGTTTTTTCAGTGCCATGAAAGATGCTTTCTCTTCTATATGGTTCTTGAACATAGAATGACAAACTCCTGGGATGAGGAACTTCCTGTAATAGATCTCTGGAACCATACTGATTACATCTCCTTCAGGACGTCTAGGACTCTTTTGAAAGGTTTTATCATCTACAGAGAGAACAAGCGACAGAACGGATCTTACATGGAAGACTGCTCCTTTATGGAAGATGCTGACTCTAACCATTAAGCAAGAATTATGGTCAGCTGTAGCTTAAACTCCTTGTTGCTGTTCTTCACCTCTCTTACTCCCAGTCCACATTTCTAGCTTTATAAATTGGCTTAATGTTTGCTGGTTTGAATGCTTCATGCCCTCAATACAATTGGTCTCTGCCCGTTCTTTTGCGAGGGGGGCAAATAAAGCAGTGTGGGTCAACTCGGGATACATCCAATGACATACATAATGAAGCAGTGGGCATTACAAACTGCTTGCATAATACGTTTTGTCTCTGTCTGTCCAACCTCTTGTTGTCTGAGAAGACTAAAATGAGCACATAAATGCAACCATTGGCTCCTATTATATATAAACTAACAGAGCCAGTGCAAGGAAGATTATTCCCTGTTAGCTTTTGTTCTACTGTGGCTAAAGAAAGGATTCTATGGTGCAGTTAGAAACTATGTGAGGTAAGATGCCAGGGGAAGAAACATTGCTTGCTGCCCTCAAAACTAAGTATTTGGAAAACCACAATATCATTCTAGGCTGACAGAGCTTAATACACCAGGAGACGAAATTAAAATGCCCTGACCTAACCACAGTTCCTCACTGTGATAATGGCTGTCCACCTTGTCACACTAATAAAGTCACTGAGAATAAAGAGTGTATGACCTGATCTTATGTTACTCTTCAACTACTTTACTGCACTTCCGCTGATTCAAAGTTTCCATCTTATCCCAACAGAAACACTAGCTGCTTTGCCCCACTGTTACTCATGCCTGTATCTAAACATCTTCAGTCTTGATGTTGGAAGAAGTTTGGACCAAATGTAAACAGCAGTAGCACTACTGATTTTAGCACAATAGAACTGTTTTTGAGTGTGGCCACTCTATACATTACATGTTTTCCCCAGAAAAGTCAAAATATTTGTTTAAAATCTGAAAAAAATGAAACAAAAAATATTTTCTCTGAAAAAGCTTTTTACCCCACCACTTGGAAACATTCAGATACATCTACTAGTTACTGGTATCACAATAGTTATCTCAACTCTATGCAATATATCCAACATCCATGATCTCTAATAAGCTCTTCATTAGTCTCACTGATTGCAAGGATTTGAGGTTGCTCCTTACAAGGCTGACAATTCGACAGAGCTGTGGATTACATCACCAGATCACATGCATTTTTAAGTATGTTGTTTCACTTCACACTGGGTTATTTCAGCTTTTCAACCACTGGTTCACTAAACTACTTACTGCCTTTAAAAAGAACACGCTATTTCAAAGGGGTGGTGCTCTATGAAAGCAAATATTAATTGTGCCATTAATTCTATAAGAAATGGCTAAGGTCCCTTTAAAAGCCAAAAACCCACACAAGTTTGACATCTACAAATATACGAAACAAGAAGAAATGCACTACCTCCAATCTGTACTAAAAGAATATATTTTATCTCATATCTACAGTGCAAATACCAACCAAAGAAGACTACTCCATTTAAAATCTCAAATGTAGCATTGACCTCCAGCTCTCAAAACCCAAGTACTCGCATATCCCTGTACATCTCCAATATTTTACAACGGCCAGTTGGCTTAGGTCTTTCTTGTTGTGCACTAAACAGTAACTAGAGCTAGTTGTGGGCCCAGTACTATGAATACCGGATACCACATTCTCACGCAGGCAATGCTACAACCAAAACTTCATTTATTTCAATGCATTTCCCAAACACCTTTTCTCATCTGGTAGTGATACAGTGTTAGTGTTCATATTAGCTAAAGTGTAGTATCCCTCATTGGGCTGTTTGCATGGAGAGCAAAATCAGATGCTGTCAGCTGTGCAGAAATCAACAGAGCACTGCAGAATTACATCAGCTGTGAATTGTGCCCCAGAGGGTTAGTTAATCTGTCTGCTAACATAGAGAAGGCAAAAAACCTGGCAAACCTGCCAACTGCCTGAAGGTTTAGTAACAATGGCTAAGACTATACTTAGCATTCATTTAAAAAAAAAAAAAAAAAAAAAAGCACCACTTGGAAGGGAAATCAAGTAGAGATGAGGGAGGAGAGAAAAAAAATCTAGAGAAAAGGCACATTGTATGTACACAGCGCAAAAGATGTTAGAGAGAATTTTGTAATACTGAGCACAAGCTGCTTTCTAACTACAACAAAAGACAACCTTTTCAAAATTCAGAGTTATCTTGTGAGGCAAAGAAGATGTGAAGAAGGAGAAACTAAAGCAACTAATGCAAATTTGGATTAAAAGTCAGAGTTTACAGGGCTCTCAGAGCCACTATCTTCAGGAAATTCTCCAGGCCCTGGTTTTGGTGCAATTGTTAGCTTTAGTCCTTGGTTTTAAGTCTAATTCAGACTCAGCATCCAAAAACTGGCCTGAAATTTTTCAACACTCAGTGTCACTCCTGTCAGCTGAGCTGAAACTCACATGGGTTGGCTCCCCTTTCTCTGGCAGCCCAGTAAATGAACATGAAATCTTTAAACCGAGGAGCACAGCCCAACCAAGCTTTGCCAAAACGTTCATTTCCAGTGAAGAGGAAATCTCCACTTCCCTCCTTCACCTTGCATTGTAGCAGGGTTCGTATAGGGCCTCGCCATTCACCACTTGCTTCATCCTGCCAGAAAATTCTGTTTTTCTGTCTGTAGACTTTCCAGACGCTGACATCAACCTGTGGCATGTGGTTCTCTGAATCATGAGAAACATTTTGGATAGATCCTTTCACCATTAGATGTGAAGAAGACAGGAGTTGGTTATGGAGAAGCAGGTAAGTAGTTCAGGTACTAGGAGCTCACTGAATAAAATAATTGGAGAAACAGATTCGTTGTGCAGTTTGTACGCTACCGCCTACAGGTGGACACACTTCTGAGCTTACATGGCATCCTTTACACAGAGGATCCCTACACAAGCAGTGCTACATGCTTGGAAGCATGCTTTATGACTACTCAAATCAGCTATATCTGAGGAAAAAGCATATAACTTGCTTGATGATGCAAAGCAGCAGCAAAGGATGAAAAAGCACATGAAAAGAGGTCAGCTCAGGGATTCATTTTTTTCAGTCTATGTTCCAAGCCAATGACTGTCACAGACTACCTCCTTCCTGTCTCCAGGGGACTCTGAAGTTTTTCCTTTGACAGCAGTAACAGAGGTTGATCCAAGAAGAATTAGAGTATGATTTGATTGGAAAAAATAGTAGCACATTAAATGTTTTTCATTTAAAGGTTTGAGATTTTTTTCCCCCCTCAAGAAAACGGCATTCATCCATCAAAAGACACTTTGGGAACTGATGAACAACATGCAGAACTCTTAAAGTGGCTTTATTTGAAGCCTTATTTAAAAATCACATTGCATACACGTACCCCCTTCTCCCAAAATAATCCCAGCTGTTTTCTGGGAACAAAAGCACAAGAAGCCATAGTCTTTCTGACTGAAAGCATCCTTTGCATCAACCGTGCAGAGAATGAAACGTCCCATCTGACAGGTGTTTGCTGTCCTGAAGCCATCTCTCTCATTCTCACCACCCCCATTTTTCACAGCAATCAATTATTCTTCTATCAACTAAATGAATTTCAATCCCATACTCAGAGAAGGCTCAGAAAGAAACATGCCACCATTTGAGCCAAGAGCTCTTGAGCAAATGAGAGGTTACAAATGCAACAGGAACATCACCATGCTTCTGCCACAAAACTCTTTCATTCAGGTACAGAGAACTCAACAACCCACAAGGCAGAAAAAGCTTCTTTCTGAAGTTTCTGAGAACTTCCTCATCTAATTCAATTTCCAAAGGAATCCAGAATTTTGTGTAACAGATGTCTCTGGTGTGCGTCTCCCTCTTTGCATGATCATTTTTAACCAGGTGCGGTCAAGTCTATTCACAAGCTATAACGCGCTTGCTCCTGGTGCTCCAAGCTGCTCCCGCGCTGCTCAGGGACTTATGACTGAAGACCTCCACTTTAAGAATAACTATGAAGCCCCTATTCACTCCCAGTGTCATTTACACTTTCATTAGCAGCTATTTTCTCTAATCAAAAAAGTTGATGATAGCAACTTGTGAGCTTAGGGCAAGGAAGTCAGGCCATAAATAGCATCAGTTCAAAGGACTATTTCTGCTGCTCCATTGCTGCTGGAAGTGTAAGTGTCCCCATTGCGTGCTGGGCCACCACATCTGCCAGCCTCCGGTCTCTCAGGCAGGGCAGAGGGAGAGCGCCTCGCAGAGGAACTTCTACTTCATCAAGTAGAAACAATGGGCTGGATTGCATCAATTAACTTAGAAGAAGAAAAACTACCAGCTAAGGAGCACTCTAAGGGAAGCACGCTCTACACTCTGGTTTTGTATTAGCACAATGATGTTAGCATTTGATTTTATCAGTAGCCTCAAAGTATGGCAACCCCCAGTAGGAAAGCAGTCATTTGGTGGGGTTTTTTTAAAACATTGAATAAGGGTAAATATAGTTCATAGTTTTATTTCTTTATGTAGGTACATTTACAGCAATGTAATTGTGGCCACGTGGCAGCTCTACAGCTTTAGCTACTGGATGTAATCAAAGAGGTACAAATTTTCATGTGCAAAACTATGAGAATAAAATGAGCAAATCATGATCAAAAGAAAAAAATGATATTGCATTATTAAGTAGAGAAAATTGAAAAAGCTTTTAATCTACCATTGAATAAGTATTTCTTCTTATTTCTTATCTTACGGAATATTAACTGCTCTGTTCTCATAAGGCATGAAACCTAACCAGTATGTCACTGAAGGAAGTTTAAAATCACCCAAACTCCTTAGCTAAGTTACAAACAACTCACTACCTCTGTAGAAAAAGAACTAGGAGGTGTGCAAACTGTGAGGGGAGAGGGCATATTCCTCATCAGGGGAAACAAAACCCAAACCCAACCAAACCACAGATGAAGGTCACAAAAAGGAACATCCCAAGCGTGTATAACCTGGGTGTATGTCTGCCTACATGCATCTGACTTTGCGACGTGTGAAAGCCAGCAGCACACTTGTGAGAATTACTTTGCGTTCACTTTTAGATCGTAACCTTTCTGGCTGCAGGAAATGAGGACCTTGAAAGAAAGCTTCTCCCTTCTAGGTTTCATTTTTCCTCCCCATTCAAATTGTGTTTCACACATCTAGTTTCTTTCTCAGATCAGAGAACACAGTCATGCCATTATTTTAAGAAAAGCAGCAAATAAATCCAAATAATCAATGCATAATGAAAGGCAGAATAACTTCTTTTTAGTCAGCTTACCAAAATCACTGCTGCAAATGGCCATAAGAAGTTCCACATTGTCACAAGGACGGCACATAGCTAGAAAAAAAAAGAACCATTAGTTATTTGTAACACTATACCATGTCTCATTGCTAAAGGACCGGTGAATTATGAGAGGAAATGGGGCAGAACTACTACCTTAAAGAGCATTATGATCAGATGCAAACCAAAATTCTTGTTATGCAAATACAACCGAAGCAAAGAAATAAGGACAGAGGATTTGTAAGAGTCATTGAGCGACAACAGGGCCAGATAGCATATAATCCCTTTAACAACTGATGAAGCATGCAAAAAAAAAAAAAAGCAAAAAAACACAGCACCTGGTGCATAGCTACCCTCCATCATTTTTCAACCTTTTCCAATTTGGTTCTCTTCTGACAGAAAGTGGGCAAGATTCTTCTGTATTACTTCTGAAACGTTAGTAATCCAGCGTGGATGTGGTTGAATTTTATTCCAAGTATAGGGAATTTTATTCCAAGTGTGGGGTAGCAGCATAAATCATTAAATATATTAGTGATAAAAGAAACACCCCATGCCACATCTGAAGCCGTCACAGGTCTAACACCAGATCGTAGGGTTCATTGAATCAATCTTAGGCTCTGTTCCCCCATAAACGTGATCTGTTATCCGCACACTTGCTATATACCCTGCTATCAAAAGCCCTTGTCTTGAGTCCTGGGCAATCAGCCCAGTGATCCTATCAAGCACTTCCCAAAATAAGCACATTCCCCGAGTTAACGCCATGAAAAACGGCAAAAAAAAAACCGGCAAAGCCATGCAAAGCGGCACCTTGGACAGGTTAACAAAGAGGACAGGACAACTCAAAAGTACTATAGTTGCTCCTTTTATTTAACCTCTCTGTTTTAAGGGAAGCTTCTTGCCATTGCAATGTGGCTTGAATACTTCCCTTTTTAACAGGAGGTTTGCCCGGGGTATTCTTTATTGGGGCAGCAGTAGGTGGGTCCTGATTTTTCAGAACTGGGATGGAAAAGAGCCCTCTTCAACCTCAGTGCTCCTTGGATACATAAATGGGG